CTTGACCATTTGAAATTAAACTTATTATAAACACTTCATAATAGTAAATGGAGCTGTAAAAAAAGTAAATATAGGTAATAGGAATTCGAATTTGGAAAATGATAGGGGTAGGTGTGTCCATCCGGGCTGGCCCGACCCGGCCCGGGCCGGGCAAAAGCGGAGCCCGAACCTGGACCCAGGTACCCCGGGCCGGGTCCGGGCCCGGTTTATTTTCTTTTTTCTAAAAAATTCTATTTAAAATTTAAATTATACAAAAAAAGACAAAAAAATAATAAAAAATAATAATTTTATTAATCACTTAAAATAATATAAATTACAAATAAAAAATTATAAAAATAAATTTTTATTAATAATTAACAAATCATTTACAAATTACAAATATAAATTTATTTTGGAATTCATCGCATCACAATAGATAAATACATCCCAACTAGGTTTCTTTAAATTTCTTTTCTTTTTTTTTATAAAAAATGCTAAAAATTAGTTAAACATTATTATATTTTATATAATTATGTATTAGTATATACTTACAAAATATTATGTAACTATATATTATATATACATATATTATATGTAAATATATTGTATATATTTATAAGTTATAACTTGAGAGAGAGAGAGAAACACATGAATAAGTAGGCAGTCGTTGCTCGGCCAATGAGGAAGAAGTAGTAGTTGTAATATATTATACTTATATATACTTATATACTAAGAGAGAAAGTATACACACACACACATATTATATATTTAAAATTTAAATTATACAAAAAAAATTAATAAAAAACAATAATTTTATTAATCACTTAAAATGACATAAATTACAAATAAAAAATTATAAAAATAAATTCTTTATTAATAATTAATAAATCATTTACAAATTACAAGTATAAATTTATTTTGGAATTCATCGCATCACAATAGATAAATACATCCCAACTAGGTTTCTTTAAATTTCTTTTCTTTTTTTTTATAAAAAATGCTAAAAATTAGTTTAATATTATTATATTTTATATAATTATGTATTAGTATATACTTACAAAATATTATGTAACTATATATTATATATACATATATTATATGTAAATATATTGTATATATTTATAAGTTATAACTTGAGAGAGAGAGAGAGAGAATCGCATAAGTAGTCGTTGCCCGTTGGGCCAATGAGGAAGAAGTAGTAGTTGTAATATATTATACTTATATATACTTATATACTAAGAGAGAGAGTATATACACACACACACATATTATACATATATAAGAGAGAGTATACTTATATATACATATATACTAAGAGAGAGAGAGTATATATATATATACACACACATATATTATACATATATAAAAGAGTGTATACTTATATATACTTATATAAGAGAGAGTATACTTATATATACATATATACTAAGAGAGAGAGAGTATATACATACATACATTATACATATATAAGAGAGAGTATTCTTATATATACTTATATAAAAGAAAGTATACTTATATTTACTTATACATATATATACTTATATAAGAGAGAGAGAGTATATACACACACATATATATGACATATTATACATATATAGAAATATATTATATATACATATACTATATATATACATATATAAAAATATATTATATATACATATATTATACATATTATATATATTTATATATACATATATTATACATATATAATACATATAAAAAATATATAAAAAACTACTATTCCGGGCCGGGCCGGGCACCAAAGAGCCGGCCTGAAGCCGGACTTGGCCCGAGTTTCCAGACCGGCGGACTTTTTGAACACCCTTAGATAGGGGCACACCCCCAACTACAACTTATACCACACACACTCTCTCTGCTACAGTGCGTCAGGTCCCACATTTAAAATCACATGTGGAGTCCAGCATAATGTAGCAGAGAGAGTGTGTGATTAGAGTTGTGGTTGGGCGTTTGCCCCTAGTGACTCTCTTCGAATTTATTAAGGCTTTATGAGATATGACACATTCAAAGGGAGGAGGTCAAAAGAAACCGTAGGCTTGCGATCCTTCTCAGATTCCACGGATGACCAAGACTTGAAGACTAATAAACATGTTGCTATTTCGTCACTGGGGGCCCCACCTCAAACACAAATATGAAACACGTATAATTAACTAATTAGACCACAACAAGGTCCTTTTAACTTGCCTACCAAGCTAAGCCATCTCCTGCGACTCCAAAAAGTCCGAACCCTCTTTATATTAACCTCTATAAATACCTACAAGCGTTAACGCCTGAGCTCCCCAACTCAAGCTCATACCTCAAAACTAAAGAAACTAGTTAGAGAGAGAGAGAGAGAGAGAGAGAGAGAGAGAGAGAGGAAAGAGAGTGATGGCATCAATGGGGGGAGAGTTCGTTCAAGCTACGTAATGAAAGAAGATGCACAAGGAGAAGATGGATAGAATTACACTGCGAGAAGAGACTTCCAAGGTTGTCAAGGGGAAGAATAATACCGAGAGGCGGGGCGGCTT